GCCCAGTAGTTTCTAATTTTGTTATTTTTTTACTTTATTCCCTTTTTTATTAAATTTTTTTACTTTATTATTTAGGAATAGTTAACCTATAAGTTCATTTTTTAATACTTTAACAGCACATTCATTCACATGTTCACGGTTCTCTGATGTTGGTTAATGGTCACATGACATGCGCGTTAACAAATATTTATTATTTTTCAGTAAATGTTTTATTTTCAAATAATTAATTTTATATTTGAGTGTTTAATAAATTATTCATTACTTCCCCTGCAAACCCCATTTTGGGAAGCCTTGAATTAGCTTAATAAATTATTAGAAATGTATTTAAATGAATAAAAAAAAAAGTGTGATAAATTAATTGGACTCATTATGACTGCTAAAAATCAAATCAGCTTTAAAAACAAAAATAGCTGTAATAAATGTGCAAGACATAATACAATGAATGCATTTACATTTAAAATGATTTGCGTTGCTGATGTCAAATGTTCAACAAGTGATAGAAGTAGGAAACTCACATTTTCCCCCTTACATTTTTAATATTGGGGCATTTTTGTTTTTACTTTGAGCCCGGTGTTATTTTAGTATTATTTGTATACTATTCTAGGTTTTGAATTACCTTTCAGTTTTTATACTGTTAGTGTTTGTTTTAATTCTAGTTAAATTTTTAGTCATTTTGTTTTATGCTTTTGTCATTTTTAGTTTAAGTATTACTATCTATGATTATTTTTATTTCAATTTTATATATTTTATTTCCCGTTAGTAATTTTAGCAACGAAATGAGTAATGTTGCCTCGGCAATTAACTGAAATTAGTTTATTTATATTTAAATTTTATTACAGCTGTATTTCTATAAAAAAAAATATATATACAGTGGTGGCCAAAATTATTAGAACACCTGACAGATCTGAAAATATTGACCTTTTTTTTGCCTCCAAAATATTATTTTATTTCAAAATGTTCATGAAACATGCAGATGGTTGCTCTGAGCACAACGAATAGCGATAGATGAAGTGAGTCGTACTGTTTTTATCCACTTTTAACTCTAATATGTGACCCTCGACCACAAAACCAGTCATAAGGGTCCATTTTTAAGAAATTGAGTTTTATACACCATCTGAAAGCTGAATAAGCTTTCCATTGATGTGTGGTTTGTTAGTAAGAAGACAATATTTGGTCGAGATACAACTATTTGAAAATCTGGAATCTGAGGGTGCAAAAAAATCTAAATATTGAGAAAGTCTCCTTTAAAGTTGTCCAAATGTACAAATACAAATATACCCCAGCGACTTAAGACTGCTTTTGTGCTGCAGGGTCACAAATTTGGTATGTCCACCTTTTGCAGCAATTACAGCAGCACATCTCTCTGGCATAGTGTTCAACACTAATGTTATCCCATCAAGCCAAAGGCTTTCCTTTGAATGTACAATACATCTGTCCAGTTTATTTCCCAACTCGCCCCAAATTTGCTCGATGGGGCTGAGGTCCGGACTTTGAGGGAGCCAGTCCATCATTTTCAATGATCCAGCAGATTCCTCCCATCACAGATGGTTCCGGCAATAGTTAAAATAATGTTTAGGGTCATTGTATCCCATTGTCCGTTGTAGCTTTATGTATCCCCCAATTGTAAGTCGCTTTGGATAAAAGCGTCTGCTAAATCAACACTAATGTTATCCCATCAAGCCAAAGGCTTTCCTTTGAATGTACAATACATCTGTCCAGTTTATTTCCCAACTCGCCCCAAATTTGCTCGATGGGGCTGAGGTCCGGACTTTGAGGGAGCCAGTCCATCATTTTCAATGATCCAGCAGATTCCTCCCATCACAGATGGTTCCGGCAATAGTTAAAATAATGTTTTACATGTAAATGTAATTGTCCTCTTGAAAAATAAATCCAGACCCAATGAGACGACTCCCAGATGATACTCCGTGCTTCAGAATGTTGTGGTATTCATCATCTAAGTCACCTGTTCCTGAGGCTGAAATAGCACCCAACACCATAATACTACCCCCTCCGTGTTTAACTGTTGGCAACAGACACTCATTTTTATATCTCCCTCTCTCTCCGTCGAACATACGCTCTTCATTGTTGCCAAACAGTTCAAACTTGGACTCATCAGTCTTTAGACCAATCTTCCTTTGTCCAGTTCTTGTGTTCTTTAGCAAATTTCAGGCGTTCCACTCTCTTTTTCTCTGTCAGTAATGGTTTCTTTGCTGCTATTCTACCAACAAGTCCTCGTTCTCCCAGTTTCCGACGCACAGTTCCTGAAGACACTGTTGCACCATTAGTGATTGTGGTGTTGATCTCGTCACGCAGTTCTCGTGAGGTCTTCGGTCCTTAAGACTGAGAATTTTGAGATGCTTCTCTTGTCTGGCTGAAAGTTTCTCTTTTTTTTTCTACCTCTCCCCTTTCGGTTCTGGTGGGAATTGGTGGCATCATGGTGGTCTAAAGTGCAGTGCTTGGACTGCATCTCACGTTCTTGGCTATGCGGCGGTAACTCCAGCCAGCCTTTATTCGAACCCGTTGCTCACTCATTAGCTCCTCCTTCACCTTAGCCATGTTCAAAGAGCAACATGTGCTTCAAGACTACTTCTAGAGACTTTGAATTTACACCAATTGGTGGCGTGGCCTCCGTGACAAAACCCTGATGTTACCAGTCACTTAATGTGCAGGATAGGCCTTGTACACGCAAAAGAATCACACAGCTGTGTCCTAAGACTCTTGCGTCACCATCAATTTAACCACGATCACACCTGACAATGATTACACAAGTAGTTTGGCTTCTTCTGTGTAAAAACATGATTGTGTAACACTGACAGTGGAATAGTCCTAGCTTGTTTTTTTGTAAGGACAATGACTTAAATCTCCTTATGATGGCTCTATTCTATGGTTTATAAAGCATAATTATGACTGTGTAGATATTTCATTCGTTTTATGGGTATTATAATGGCCAATTAAAAAAAACTGAAACCTCTTAAATATGCCAAGTGTTCTAATAATTTTGGCCACCACTGTATGTATATATATATATATATATATATATATATTTACACAGTAGTCAACATTTGGATCAAAACCTTTCATCAAAGTTGTCCTAAAACCAAAACAATACCCGTTCTTGTCTTAGGACAACTTTGATGAACTTTTTTGATCCACTTCAGATGTTGACTACTATATATATA